AGGCRTCTGCAAAGGAAGAAGAATCTCCAGTGAACAGCAGAAACTCCGACGGGATCTAGCCTGACTCGGGGCAGATGTCAAAATAATTGGATAACAAAGCTTCTCTGACACAGCAGGTATTGAGCATCATGGTTTGAAAAGCAGCAATGGCAGATCTCCTGTAAACGTTGTGAACCGGTCTCGGACACCTRCAGGACTTGTTCTGAGCTCTCAAAAAMAATGRGAATGACGCTGACCGAAGACCATCRATCACACGAGAATGTGCGGCCTCACTAGCATCTGATTCTCAGTAATCAGGTACACAGAAMATGGGTTTGCGCAAGAGTTTTGAAGCAGGACAAACCTGCCCGTAGACTTGCTACGCTGCATTCAGGGGTTGGACCTATTTCACCATTATCAGCGTTTGCTCAAATCGTTTCTTTTGTCCTGTTGAGAGCGCCTGTTGGCCTGTGTTGCGCGCTGAAAAATCGTTACTATGAATTGGTTCGAACTGTGCTAAATTCTTGTTAATCTTTAAATAGAGCAGAAAACAAATGAGCCTCTTGAAATCTCATTTTCTAAGGGAAAGGGTAGCACTGGCTTTGAGCTAATTTCAGATTTGCAGACTTGTCCAGTTCGGATCATTCTAATTAGTTTTTCATTCTGCTTCATTCCATTCTCCAAGACCCCTAACCCGTACTTCGTTTGACAGGCGGTGTAAAACCAGATACCYTGCTGCTCGCTGAAGACCTCTGAAGCGGGCGCAGCGAGTGACAGGCGCTTTTGCCCTTGGCTTCAGCAAACAGTAGGCGCCCCTCCCCGGGTTTCCTCACAACGGCATCTAGCCCGGTCAGCTTCTGTGTGAAGCTGCCCGACTACCTACGTCAGGCTCGTGTGCACGATGTCTACCACGTCTCGTTACTGCGTCCTTACCGCAGACCGTCTGAGCGTTACGCCGGATGACCATACGAGCGCCCTCCACCCATCATGGTGGACGGCCACGAGGAGTTCCTCGTTTCGGACATCATCGGTCGCCGAGTCACTGATGACAACCCTCCCCACGTCGACTATCTCGTACATTGGAAGGGTTACCCCGATGAGGAGGCTACTTGGGAGCCCCTCGAGCACTTGCAACACGCTCGCATGTTGGTGCGTGCCTATGACCGTGTTCGTCGTGCTGGGTTCACTGCTCCTCCTCAGCCCACTGACCCTCCTTCTCCCCTGGCTGAGGAGACCGCTGAAGTTGAGCCTGCTTTATCTGAGGCAGACCTTCAGCAGCAGCCGGATGCTTCTGAGCGTCCACAGCGCACTCGTCGTCGTCCTGCTCAATACGACAGTTGACTCTGACTTACCTTCCCACGTCTTTGACTTCTCAGTACTCCATCCACTTCAGTTTTGCTACTTCAGCTCGTCGATGTTGCGGCTCTTCCTCGACGACATTCCGGACTTCTCATCGTGGATGTCATCGGCAGCTTCATGGACTTCGTCACGATCAACTTTACCTACTTCAGACGTCATCACTCTCTTACCACTTTACCCTGTACAGTACCCTTGTTGTGTCGCATGATGGTCTCCTTTTAGCCGGGTTCCTCTGAGTTGGGCTCTCCCTTGGTATACGCATAGGCATCGGGACCGAAGCGTTGCCCTGGCTTCCCATCTTACGGATCTAGCTCCGACTTCCCTCAGTTAGGAGTCATTTGCATGATTCCCTTACCCATCACCTTCCTACCCTCTGCTGACCCTCACGCCCTAGTTAGGCAGCCCCGCATGCTTCATCTAGGTGCGCCCAGTATACCAGGCTCCCTTGTTCCCTTGCATGGTCGACCCTCCATAGCGATCACCCCTTAGCCCAGCTTTACCCGCCCTGATGGTCTATCTGTTAGGGTCATTGGTTCTGTTCGCTCCCAGTTCCCTACCCTCATTGAGCCTGATGACATGTATCTCCCTGTTTTCTATGTGTGGATGCTCTTAGGAGTTTTCGACCCCTAGGCTGCATTCGCCACCCTCAGAGACCATCCCACCCTTTGGTTTGCGACACACTCCGCCTGTGACATATGGTTGACTTGTTGATTGCTTTGTTGCTCTTAGACTGAGGCTGCTGCCTTTGACATTTCTAGGATTTAGCTGTTCTGCTTTTGTTGTTCTTAGGACTTATACACTAGTCAGCTGTTACCAGACTGAGGCTAGTGCCTCGAACATTCTAGGATCTAGTTGTCACTACTTCCTGCTTTACTAGGACATGTATGCTAGTTAGTTGCTTTTGCTTTCCTATGACATGTATGCTAGTTAGTTGCTTCTGCTTTTACTCAGGCTGTTAGCTGTGACATTGCTGTTTTGTGACATTTTTAGCCTAGGTTGCATCGCATGGACTCAGCATGGAGCTTGCTCCGCATCCTAGACTACTCAGGTTTTTCTTTTTCTTTGGTAGAGTTCCGCTTCTTGACGGAAGCGTGTTTGCATCTAGACGATCCATCACAGGCCAAGGATCGTGTAGCGGACCTCTTGTTGGTTGGCCTGTGAGACCAGCCCCTTGGCCTGTTCTCACACGCCTGTGTTCTATTCGGGGGCAGTCCAGGCCAGGCCAGGCCGGTACCTCTGTTGGTACCAGCCAGTCCAGTCCAGTACCGTCAGTCCGTTTGGGTATACCCCAGCAATTGTTTGTTTTCTCATTCATTCTTCACTTGCACATTTTGGAGTACGTGCGTTGGAGTCTTGCGTGGGGAGCTGCGTTGTGCCATCTCGCTCCCCGCTTCTTCCTCCATCTCCATCTCTACCACTAGCGGAGCACCACACCTGGTGGGTCCGCTACATGCACACACGAGAGTGCCACCGTGCGACAAGGGAGGATGCCCTGTGGTTTTCCTAGCACCATGTCTAGTGTAGGCTTGGAGTTGCAGTGAGGTGAGGCTGTGGTGGGGGAGGGGAGGGGGGAAAGGGTTTCGTTGTGAGTTGAGCACGCACAGCCTTGTGACCAGGAGAACAGTGAGTAGCACGCACCTCTTAGCCCCCTGCAGTGGACGCAGTCATGGCCCGGCTTGATGTGCAACGCAGGAGAAGACTTGGCCACTTTCTGTTTTTCCTTCTGCAGTTCATTCTCCATCGCGGGTTGCTGTCGGGACCGCGAGGGGACCATTCTGGGTACCCCAACCTTTCATGGCTGCTGCGGCGTGCGACGTGCGACAGGGGGACCGTGAGGGGACCGCAAGTGTCAACCAGTATCTCATCGGTGATTCTGGGTACCCCAATCTTTCATGGCTGCTGCGGTCGTTCCCTGACCAACCGCGAGGGGACCATTCGCGCTTTAATGACGCTGCGTCGACGCACACGAATCGGTCCGGAAGTGCGTGGAGCGCTGTTTTGGTCGGCTGAAGGGAATGTGGCGAGTCTTATACAGGAGGCAAAAGGGCGATATTGATCTCATGCCAGGTCAAATTATGGCCATTGTAGTGCTTCACAATTACTGTATTGATGGTGGCGTGTTCTTCAACGTTGATCAGTTCATGAGGAGGCACCGGAACCTAGGTGTGTTCAATCAGGAACCTGACAATGCAATGCAGGTAGAAGTCAATGAACAGAGCGGTGATACAGCCAGGGAGGCCGTAGTCGGACACATGGCAGTCAGGGCTGCTAGGCGCCGACAACATTGAAATCATGTAGCATTCCAGTGTATTGCCTTGTAATAGAGAACTCCGGTCGAAGTCTTTGGATTATCAAGTGATCACGTTTAACCAAATGCATGTGACATGCTTATTTTTTCGAGAATCTCTCTCTCTCTCTCTCTCTCTCTCTCTCTCTCTCTCACACACACACACACACTCTCTCTCTCTCTCTCTCTCTCTCTCTC